ATGGAAAGATATCCCCTGCTCCTGGGTAGGAAGAATCAACATAGTGAAAATGGCCATACTACCGAAACTGCTATATACATTCAATGCAATGCCAATTGAAATTCCAACACTATATTTCACAGAACTAGAAAAAAGAATCCAAAAATTCATTTGGAACCACAAGAGACCTAGAATAGCAAAAGCCATTATAGGCAACAGTCACATGGCACCAGGTGTAACAATTCCCAATTTGAAACTATACTACAAAGCCACTGTGATAAAATCAGCATGGTACTGGCAAAGAAATAGGCCTGAGGATCAATGGAACAGACTGGAAGACACAAAAACAAATGCAGATGTACTCAGCTACCTCATCTTCGACAAAGGAGCTCACCATCCTCAGTGGAGGAAAGATAGCCTCTTTAATAAATGGTGTTGGAAAAACTGGATATCAACCTGTCACAGATTAAAATTAGACCCTTATCTTTCGCCATGCACTAAATTAAAATCCAAATGGATTAAAGATCTAAATATTAAAACAGAAACATTAAACTTGCTGGAAAGTAAGTTAGGCAGAACTCTGGAAGACATTGGTATAGGAAAAGACTTTATGAACAAATCCTCAGTAGCACGGGAACTAGCAGAAAGAATCAACAACTGGGATCTCATCTTACTAAAAAGCTTCTGTACTTCAAAAGAAACCATTAGCAGAACTAAGAGACAATCTACAATGTGGGAAAAAATTTTTACCAGCTGTACCTCAGACAAAGGACTATTATCAAGGATATATAAAGAACTCAAAACAATCAGTCCCCCCAAATATAAAGACCCGATCCAAAAATGGGCATCCGAAATGAACAGACATTTCTCATACAAAGAAGTGAAAGCAGCAAGAAAATATATGAAAAAATGTTCCACATCACTGGTCATTCGAGAGATGCAGATGAAAACAACACTGAGATTCCACCTCACCCCACAAAGAATGGCTGCTATCAAGAAATCACACAATAACAAATGTTGGCGGGGTTGTGGGGAGAAAGGAACCCTCCTCCATTGTTGGTGGGAGTGCAGACTAGTGCAACCACTATGGAAATCAATATGGAGATACCTCAAAGAGCTTGGACTGGAGGTTCCATTTGACCCAGCCATCCCTCTGTTGGGTATCTTTCCAAGAGAACTAAAAGAATCATATCACAGAGAAGTATGTGCACCCATGTTTATAGCGGCACAGTTTGTAATAGCTAAATCTTGGAAACAACCTATTTGCCCATCCGTTGGAAACTGGATAAAGAAGTTGTGGTTTTTCTATAAAATGGAATATTACTCAGCCATAAAGAGCGAGAGAATAGATTCATTCATAGGAAAATGGATACATATTGAAGATATACTCCTAAGTGAAATAAATAAGTCCCACATGTGTAAATACCAAATAGTTTCCCTGGTGTGAATATTCTGCAACAATGCATAAGATTCTAATAAGATTACTGACATTTAGAAATGGGAGGAAAGGAGCTAAAGGTGTAGGGAAGGTGTGATACGTAGGGGAAGAACAAAAAGGGAAAAGAAAAAAATGTGAGAGAATGAAAAGATGAAAATAAAGTGTTTGTAGATGGGGAGGGGAGGAGGGGGTGAAGGGAGGGCAGAGGTAATGGGAAAAAAATGAGAATCAAGACTTGCCATGTAAAGGTACATGATCCCAACAATGAATGTAACTGTACTGTATCCCTAAATGTACCAATAATCTCAATTAAAAAAAAAAAAAAGAAATATTTATATAAGTTCTAGTATAGTAGAAAGTAAACATCAGTTCTGTGAAGCAGGACAAGAATGTGATCAAATTGTAGGAATTTAGGTTTTCATTTTCAGAATATATATATGTGAATAAATCTTTAAATCGTTAAAGACTGACACTTGAATAAACCCAAGAATAGAGCTATTAGAAACATTTTGCTGGGGATTTAGCTCAGTGGTTCCAGTACCTGTCTGACAAGTGCAAGGACACGAGTTTGATCCCTGATACCAAAAAAAAAAAAAAAAAAAAAAAAAAAAAAAAAAAAAAAAAAAAAAAAAAGAAAAAAAAGAAAGAGAGAAAGAAAAAAAAAGAAAAGAAAGAAAGATTTTTACCAATGCTAAAACTGGATCACACAAACCATTACTTTCATTGAATGTTTAGTGCTGTAAAATGGAGAGGGAGGATAGTTTCCCACTGATTACTAGATCACGTTAAGTATTTGAAAACTTGCACTCTGTTCAAAAGGGAAACCAAATTTATCTAATCTAGCTATTTAAAGTCCCCATATGTGCATTAGCCGTGCAGAGGGAATTTGTAAAACTCTTGGAAAAATGTATGTACGGTAATTAGCTGGGCCTGGTTTAGTAACGGGCATCAATATGAGCAAGTGAACTAAACTATTTCATAATTGAAGAGCATCTCATAGGAAATGAAAATTGAACTTTCTAGTGCTGCAGCCTTCAATTTCTCAGTGGACAGGATCCAGGGGCCACATTTTCTAATGAACGTGGTTGAGTTAGTATATGATACTTACTAAGCGTTCATTTAGGGGGCTGGGGATTTGCCTGCCTCACAAGCACAAGGTCCTGAGTTCAATAAAATAAATAAGTAAATAAATAAACATTGAGCATTCATTTAGAATTCTATTAAAATAGTACTCAACAACTTTATACCTTCACAGAATTAAAGCATTTGGAGGAACTGTCCTTAACTTATGAATGTTAATAAGGGAATCATGAACATTAGTGAATTTCTAATATTATCAAAAGGAATTCCCTAGAAAATGCCACAAAAAATAAAATTTTAATAAAGAAAGGTGAACAGATGAACGTTAATATGGACTAAATGGTTAAAAACTTTAGATATGATTTAGAATATAATTTAAACTCATATTAACGTTTGAAAGTAAATTGTACTTTGGAGTTAAGATATATGGTTTATCTATTTCATAAGAATCAATTATTATATATAGTTTTAAGATATTAAGAAACTGTTTTAATTATAAAAATCATTCATAATCTTAAATATTTCAAAATCTATTGCAACACCACTTTAAAAAGCATAGATTCAATTATCATATATTTTTACAGTAACATTATTTGTTAGATATTCATTGACTATCCATGACAGCAGGCTTACAGTGGAATTTTTTAATATAAATGTATTCTCATGGAAAGTGATTCATGCTGAATATCTTAGCCAAAGAGGAAAAAAACATGAAAGACTCAGATTGGATTACCTTAATTTTTATAAGCAAGCTGAGAAATGTATGACTATATATTACGGATGGTAATGGCTAGCCAAAAATATGTTCTAGCCAAAAATATCTATAGTTCCAAATAGATCTCTTTCAGTAACATAAGCAAAGTATCAGCTAAGCTTTTGTGAAAATAGGCATTTATATAAGTAACTTTTAAAAAAATGTTATGAGTGCTTGTTAATATTACATGATGATTGGGCCTATTTTAGGAAGTTGGTGCATACATTTAATATATTTTAATCAACCTCAATCCCAATATCTCCGTCTCTTTTCTTCCTCCCCTCAGGCTTGTTCTCTTCCTGAGGATTCCCTACATCAGAATAAATATAAATGAGTTAATGATTTCAAGAACAAAATAAAAGATTGAAACGGTAATGGGAAAAAGGGAGACAGATCTTTTTCATTTGGAAATGGGACCAAGAGATGGAACAAAGGAGGATCAAGAGGGAAGGGAAGGGGACGAAAGAAGAAATAACTGTGCTATGCACATTACCAACTCCCCATGTGAATGTAAGCATTATGCACTGCAAAACGCAATAATAAACACTTTAAATTTTTAAAAATGAGTCGAGTTTTAAATAATTTAGCGTTAATGTTTATCATTTATAACTTATTTAGCCTTATCACTTTTGTATTTTCACGATGACTAATTACATTTGAACCATTTTGTTAATTTGGAATGAGTGTTAGAACTGTCCTGCCACATATACACGTATATTTATTTGTAATTTATTGGTGTATCTTGTGGTCTGACCTAACTTTACACAGTATGTTTGTAAACATGCTGTATGTGTTAACTGATCTAGCTTTCTTACTAGGTTTTAAGGTATTCAGTGATGGAGTCAGTATCATCAACTGAGTTTTATTGTACAAACATTTACTGTATCTCTTTTCTGGTGAAGAAAATTGGTTCTGCCTCAGAAGAACTCACAGAAGGAAAGCAGGACTCATAGACAGCGATATTATTGTGGGACGGAATTCGGCAATAATGAGGAGGTGCAAAAATGAGGCATGAGAGAGGGACACCTGCTCCAACAGACAGCTCAGGGGAGGTTTCCTAGAATGACGGGGATCGGAGAAGACTCCGAAGGATAAGACTAATATCTGGCAAGGAAATGTGAGGAGGGCATTTTAGGAACATAAATGGAAACTTCAAGAAGTGAAAGGGGCATGATGGATGTAGAATATCTACAGCCACATGTGGAGAGAGCATGCTACAAAATGGTGATGTGCTGATTGGCAGAGGTGGAGTTGAAGAAGTGAATGGCAGTCAGGATATTAAAGATTGTTCATGGATTTTATTGTTTCAGCCACATCAAGGGCTTTTAGCAGAGTTGCTTCTTCTTAATTATTTTCGGTTGCCTCTCAGCACCTAGCACAGTGGTTTGCACGCAGTTTTGCCAACAATGCCAAAGATTACTTTCCCTCCAGCTACAGTCACCTTCAATAACGAAATGAAAAGACTGTCAATGAAAATAATATTCAGAGAACATCGATTGAAAATCTTCTAAAATAAAGTTAAGACTATCGAATCACATCTGAATCTCAGTCTCGGGACTGAATGAATCAATAAGTAAACATGTATGCCTGGGAAGCAAACATATGAAAGAATACCAACAAGAAGAAAAAGGAGAATAAAGAGGGGAAGAAGAGGAGGAGGAGGAGGAAAACAAAGAATTTCATTGTGTCACACCTTCACTGACCGCCTTCCCTTCCTGCTGTGGGAGGAGTTGCACCAGAGCCTCTCACCTGGGCAAGTATACTTCTACTTTTTGTTTCTTCACAGAGTTGGCCCATTCTTCAATCAGTTGTGCTTTGACCAACGGCTCTAGAGTAGCCAGTGGAACTTCCTGTCTTGACAATACCAGCATCATGCTTATCTCATCGCCCTCATACGGTATTTCTAGGACTTGGTAGATACCACCAGCCTCATTGGAGCCATCACTAAATTCCCCTGAAAAGGACAGAAGGGCCGTAAAAGTTCCACGTCAAAAGTCGCTTTTAAAAGATTTAATTCTGTTAGGACTTTTTCAGAAATAGCATATAGAAAATAAGAATTTTGGGCATCTAGAAAATTGTCCTTGAAATTAAATGAATTTTAATGTTCCAGAGCCTTGCAAAATTTACTTTTAGAATCCCCAGAATATTTTCACATTTGTCAAAACATGTTCTGTAGATTTATTTTTACTTTTAAGTGAGATAATTCAAAATATTTAAAGCATATTACAAAGAACAATAAAAACTCTGGTTACAAAAATAAACCGTGGCTTCAAGTTGCTATAAATCACATTTAACAATATTCATTTGATTCCTAAAAAGGGAGTTGGCTTTGTAATACCTGGTACTCTGATATTACCACAACTACAAGTTTTAAGGCCACAATTATACAGCTAAAATGAAATCTAGTCATCCTACAATAGTCTAGTGCAGTGGTGGCAACCCTATGGCATGCCTACCACAGCAGGCTGTTTGTATTTCTGGAAGCTCCAGTGGGTTTTCCATCACTGGTCCAATGTATTTATGATGATTAAAATCTGAAATTAGGCAATTGGAGATTCTATTAGGCTTGAGATTCTATGAACTTAGAGAAATTATCTAGGCTTGCAGACAACAGTCTTTAAAGCTGACTTTTCTGCCACTGCTTTAAAATTTCCGTTTTCAAAAATTAGTGTAATGCTTTTTAATGAACATTTTTCTATAGTAGATTTTACGTTAAACATTTTTGTCTTCATACAAATGTGTATTTTCCTTTCATATTTTGACTATTAGCTAGATTTGCTGTGGTTATAGTCTTTTAATATTACAATATACTTTAAATAGAATAGACTATTGGTTCTAACATACACTTGGCTTAAAATTACATTTCTGCTTATGACTTAAATTATTATACTTTGATTTATTACATAGAAAGGAATAACACACTTAATTGAAGAGACCAAAGAAACATCATTGAAAACAATATTAAGGGTATTAAATTTTATCACAAAGTACAGTCAATCAGTAAATGAAACTGAATGAACAATTATTTCTGGCCATACATGTTTTTTAAATTTTTAAATAAAAAAAATTTTAAATGACTGTGTGAGAACTGTTGTAATTCAAAAAGTGGTAAGGAGCCTAAATTAAGTGTTTGGTGAATCATACAGTTCAAGGAAAAACATTCCAAAGGCAGTGATTTGTGGAGTAAATCATAATGTTCTTGAATCATGCCAGATGTTTTCAGATGAAAAGCCACTTAGCAGTTATGATCAGATATAGGAATTAAGGAAACATATTGGAAAACTGTCAACATCTAATTACAAGTAGCCTTTGAAAATGCAGGTAAGAAATTTGAATTCTAGCCCAGATTAGACTGACAAAGAGTTTGAGTAGTGAATATTTAATTTTTATTTTTCTAAAATTTATTCATGTACTACAAGAAGAAAGAAATAAAACCCCAAACTGCTCACCATAATAAAATTCTCCTTGTTGATACATCATTGGAATTTGGATCTCACTTTCATCATCTTTAGTGAAGGAAAAAGTTCTGGTATTTTCAGGTCTAAACTGTGACTTCCAGTTGCCCTTGAAATACACAGCATTGATGAGGGCCATGTGAGTGACAGCATCAAAATCCCGTGGGGACACCAAATCTTTCAGCAGATCTATTTAGGGAAAAATAAACAGATAGAAATGCATATTAAATTGGAAAATGAAGGGTATGGAATGTTATCAAACCACTATGTGATACAGGATTTCATAAATATTGTATAATACATGTATAGTAAACATAAAAATATCTTACTTTCAAAGAAAAAAATATCACACACACACACACAATTATGTAGTTAGCAACTAAGGACATTCAAAACAACAATGCCAGGGCCAGGGATTTAGCTCAGTGGTTCTCCCACCTGCCTCACAAACACAAGGTCCCTAGTTCCATCCCCAGTACCAAAAACAGACAACAAACAAACCAAAAAAACATGGATATGCAAAACAGCAATGCCACCCTAAGTAATACCAGCAGCATCCTGACATACAAAGGACGCAGCACATGAAATAGAATTTTAGACTTCCCACTTTGTAGCTGCAATGTCTTAACACTGAGTGAGCACGCAAATGTTTCTAAGTTGATTCTTGAACAATGTGCAAGATTAAATGTCATCCAGCTCCAACTTTTCTCCATGAAGATCGGATATCTTTCTACAAACATAACAATCACTATTGACTAGGTGAAAACAGATGAGTGAAAGCCAATTTAAATCATGATGCCTTATTTTCTATCATTTGAAATGTTCCTTTTCAAACATATTTTGAAAGCTATTTGTTCTGTGTTGTTTGCTGGAAGTGCCTAAAAGAGCTTGAAAATAGACTTCAATAATTCAATATATTTCAGGTAGATTGTTATTCCTGGTTTATTCCTTGAATGCTAAAAAAAAAAACCCTTCAAATTAAGTTTCTTTATCCTACAACTTTGTCTCATAGTTGAAAATCATAGGACCAAAATATGTTCTCTAGTCTCTTTATTTTATTTGTCGTAGTACTTCTTAAGATAGATGCCTATAATGTCAATTATTGGATGAATCTTATCTGATTATGTTTTGTTTTTTTTTTATTTTTTGTTGTACTAACAAAAATTAGATTGACATTTCTTTGGAAGCTTTGACATTAAGGATTAATTTAATCTAGAGCTATAATAATCTACCTTTATCTCATTTTTTAGATTCTAATTTCAATTTCAAAATTCTAATTTCAAAATTAGAAAATAAAATGGTAAAAGGTGGAACATCTGAGCCAACCAATGGGGTGGCATACACCTGTTATCCCAGAACTCAGGGAGGCTGAGGCAGGAGAACTGCCTCAGGTTTGAGGCTAGCCAGGGCTACACAGTGAGTTCAATGCCAAGGTGAAGTACATAGTGAGACTGTTTCAATCCCATCCCCCCAAAAAGGATTAAGAACTTAAAAAGCAAAATATGAAACTTTTGAAGATCTGAAATAAATTTTAAAATATGAATTAGAAGTAAAATTTTAATATAAGTGCTTTTCTGTGGGTAATGCAGCCAGGGAATCGAACTCAGGGCCTTTGCACTGAGGAACATCACAAGCTTTTTTGTTGTTGTTGCTGTTGTTGTTTTGTTTTGTTTTTCTTTTTGAGATAGGGTCTTGCTAAATTGCTCAAATGGGGCTCAAAATTGTGATACTTCTGCCTCAGCTGCACAGAGTATCGGGATTACTGACATGTGCCACCATGCCCATTAATGTGAGTGCATCTTGTTCTAATTCCTTCCCATTTATTTGAGCTTAAAATGGGCTGCTTTTTTTTAAAAAATAAATATTTCATTTTTTATTGCCAATCAAGTTTTGCTGTTCTAAAGCTAACAAATATCTTTAAATTTTGATTTTTACCTAATTCTATTTTAACTATTATTAAAAGAATCACCAAATGTCATTCTATTTAGTAATGAATTTATTAGTTGGCTCAAGCAGAATTCTATGCAGTAGTTAACTTTACTTTGCAGAGGAAATCTGTCAATTAGCATAGAGTTCAGGTGATCAATAGCAAAATTCTATAAGTGTTAAAAAATTAACTTCTTTCTCAAAAGTTCATTAATAAATGATATAATCTACAGGAAATAATTATTAAGACACTCAACTCAATGCTGTCTAATATTCAAAATTCACAGGATTGAGGGAACAAATACTTCCACAAATAAAAATGGTTAAACTGAGCTATTAGAGAAAAGAAGAACATACTATTTGTGTTATTCTCCACCCATTTATTGATGTAGTTGGCCACAGCTACATTTTGACTGAAGTCCACATGATTTACTTCTGCATTAAAGTATTTTTTCATCATTTGCAAAAACTTATCACTGACATGAAATCCATTTTGTATAAAGAGGGAATTGGCAATTTTCATCACATATTGGCTCTCTTCAGCAGTTACCATATTAGAAAAATCCTTCAAGAAAGAAAATTCTTCACCTGCAAGATAACAAAGAACAAGTTTATTCGTGAACATCCATGATCAAGAGGAGTAGATGAGCACTAAAACTCAGTCAGGGACAACAGGAGGACTTGGCCCCAAGTAAAACAAGCAGGCTTACTCCTCACTTTGCCATGGTACCAAGGTTCTGGTGCTTGAATTATTTCTAGGTGTTTATATAAATCTGTGTAGCTTAATATTTTCAACTGATACAATTTTTTTGTTTGTTTGTTTCATTATCATCTTGCTAGAATCTTCAAAGCACAAATTTTTTCAGTAGTTTTCTTTCAAGGCACTTGGGTTGCTTTTCTTTTTTTTTTTTTTTTTGGTACCGGGGATCAAACTCAGGTCCTTGCGCATGCAAGGCAGGCGGCAGAACCACTGAGCTAAATCCCCGGCCCTGCGTTGCTTTCTTTAAATTATTCTTATTTTATAATTATCATGGGAAATTCCATTGAATTATCTATATAAAGTTCAATTTTGCCAGGCTTTTTTTTTTTTTTTTTTTTTTTGGTACCGGGGATCAAACTCAGGTCCTTGCGCATGCAAGGCAGGCGGCAGAACCACTGAGCTAAATCCCCGGCCCTGCGTTGCTTTCTTTAAATTATTCTTATTTTATAATTATCATGGGAAATTCCATTGAATTATCTATATAAAGTTCAATTTTGCCAGGCGTGGTGGCTCGTGCCTATAATCCTAGCACATGAAAATCTGATCCATGAGAATTGTAGTGAGTTCAAGGCCAGCCTGAATGTGATTTAAAAGGGGGTGGGGGTAGTTCAGTGGCACCGTGCCTGCCCTGCAAGTTTCTGAGTTTGATCCCCGGTACCAAAAAAAAAAAAAGAAAAGAAATTCAAGATATTTCTTTAGATTTTACTATCATTAGACTTTTTAAATATTATAACTAGAAAATCCATTATAAATTGTCATAGTTATTAATTCTCTAATGAGTTAATTTATATGCACATTAGACGCATTAAAATAGAAATCATACATATTAAAATGATTATAAAATATCTTTTGGCTAGAAATTTTCCCTGATACATATAATTTTTATAATAATGTAACATTTCAATAAATGTTTGTATGCTATTTTAAAAATGGAGACACAGTTGATTTTAAGTAAAAAAATAGTCTTAACCATGTTCCTTTTCAAACATGAATCATCAAAGTTGTAATTTTTCATGTATTTGCATGATAACTGAATAATACAAGCTTTTCCTTATAGATTGGGCACTCTGGAATAGTTTATTTTTATCACAATAGAATTTAAATAATAATAATTTTGAAATGCAAGTTTTTAGACTCAGCCATGGATAGAAGCAGAAATTAACGTCTTTCTTATTTTTAATTTTTTTTCCAATACTGGGGATCGAACTCAGGACCTGTGCTTGCAAAGCAGGCATGGCGCCACTGAGCTAAATTCTTTCTTATTTTTTAATTGTTCCAGCCATAACATCTCAATATCATAATTCCCACCTCTTGTAAATATTGCTGCCTCCAACATATGACAAAATGACTAAGTTCAAGTTTGAAGTCAAACCACCTTGAGGAATCAGACTGAAGCACACGTACCAGTTTTCAAGTTGTCATAGTCCATTGAGTGGCGGATTTCTTTCAGAGTAGACCCTTGAGCCCCAAATTCCATTATTCCCATTGCGAGGGCAATGCTCATTGGAGAGAAGAGAATATTTTCATCTTCCCCAATGGCTCGAAGATGGTTGTACATATTCACTGACACTTCAACACTGGTTTCATCAGGGAGAGTGGCCCCAAACACCACACTTTGCAGAATCAGCAAAGAGAATAGCCCAAGGACAGCCATAGTGGAATGGTTTCAAGCTTAGAAAAGAATAATTTACATATTAATGATTAATTTTCTCAGAGAAATAGTACAGAAAAAATATCAGGAATTATTTCTTGATAAAATGAATCAGACCTTTCAAAACACATACAATATTAATATATCTGTAATAAAATCCCCATTAGAGTACACATTGGAAAGCCCTCAAGTGTGTGTGTGTGCTGGGAACTGAACCCAGGGCTTTACACATGCTAAGCCTGTGCACTTCCTCTGAGCTAAATCCCTAACCCTGAAAGTCTACATTTTAAAAGTCAATAGTCAAGTAAACAAATAATACTGCCGAAGTTCTAGGATTGTTCCAGGAATAAGATTGTTATGATTCTAGCCTTCATAAAGTTGAGGATGTATAGATACATATACAAGTAATTCTGTTATATTTAAATTCTTTTCATGTCTCATCCTCTATATTTTGATCATGATTTTGAACCAACCTGCTTCCACTACATTACATAGGTTAGAAAAACTATAATGAAAACCAGAAGATGCTTCCTGGACTTGAAATGAGCTATTGAAATACCACTTTACCCATCTACTACATTTAACAAAATTAATATGCTTTGTAGCTGGGTTCCCAACTGGTGGAACAAGATCAGACACACACTGGCCCCAAGGCCCAGTTTATTCATCCCCAGCTGCGGAACTCATAGGACGTGGTGACCCAGCAGAGGAGCAGAGACAGCCCATCCGTGGGGCCTGTTCCTCACGTGCTGCTTCCCTGTGAGGGTGCTGTTCTCCGTGACCATTTTCAGCAGGGAGAACCTCCTGCCAACACTGAGAATGCAGCTGAATTCTTGATTCAGCTTTGTCCTTTTATACTCGGTTTATGTTACCATTTCAGTTTATGCCAACAGATTGCCGATTCCATTTAGTATGTTTAACTCTCAGATTTATCTGCTTCTAGAATCACACTGAGGCCATATTTGTTTTGGTAAAAGGAAGCAGCATTAGTGCCCAGATGTCTTTGACTAGCATTTATGTGTCTTGCCGTGCCAGTATTCCAGCAGCTCCTGTCTCCCCACAAACAGCCTGATTTGTACACACTGGGACAGGATTTCCTCTTTTCTTTGTATTCTCCCATTCTGTCAATGCTATAAAAGGAAAGCTATACACTGTTATGCAGACAATTGAGTAACTTATTTGTTCTCAATCATGAATTCATCATTAAAATAATACATAAAGTAGTATTTTCCCCATTATATATAAAGTAGTATTGAGCAAACACATTTGAAAAATTGTATTTAATTAGGCTTGGGCATTAATGATTTCCATTAATCAAGTAATGGTGCATATACATTTAACTGAAGAGGAGTGTATATCTAATAATCTTTGAGCCAGAAGTTCTAAATCAGGCCTGCAATTTCTAATTTAATGAAAAATAAGAATAGGAGCAGATGGGCAATCATGGAAATTAAGAAAGAAATATTTCCCTACATCTATTGAGTAGTCTGGTCTAAAGTACAGTTGGGGTACACTACACAATGCAGTATAATGTACCATCCTAACTCTACTCTGTAAAAGCCTAAACTGGGCCTCATTACTCTTGTCTGATGTGATCTAGTGTAAAACTAAGAAATTAAATTCGCTATACAATAGTTATAACTGTCACTGAGTAATACAGTTACTTTGGAACCACTGTATTTCAGGCTAATAAAAGTATTTTATTCATGGGAAAAAATTAATCTATTGCCGATCAATACATACCAGAAAATAAGGCTAAATCTATTATAAACTCATATGCATTTTCATTTTCAAATGAATGTTTCATGAGGTAATAATAGCTAACATTTTTGAGTACTTACAAAGGTTATCTTATTAAACTTTTTAACCACCTTGTAGGTATGGATGCTATTTATTATCCCCTTTTCTTAAGCGGATATATAGTCTTAGGGTTGTTTGTTTGTTTGTTTGTTTTGGTTCCAGGGATCAAACTCGGGACCGTGTGATTGTGAGGCAGGCTGCACAACCACTGGCTAAATCCCTGGCCCCTATCAAGTTTTTGACCAGTGTCATTTAAGCAGTGCCAGAGCAGGATTGGAGCTCAATTAATCCTCAAGAGATTTTAATCAGCAAAGTAAACTGCTTCTCCAGTCTTTGGACAAGTAGGGTAGAAGAATTAAGGAACAAGACCTGGGTTCAGTCTCAGATCTCTTATCATAGTATATCACCTTCAACAAGTCACATGCAATCTCTCAAGCTTAACTTTCTCATTTGTGAAATGAATATGCTGTATTCCTTAGTCGATAAAACTATTAAAGAAGTCCCATAGAGAATTATGTGAGAACTACTTATTTTAAACTGCAAGTTTCTCTAATAGTGGGCATTATTATGAAGTTAAAAGGTTCCTAATTATGAGTATTTGCCAACTAAACAAAAAGTTATAAATCCAAAGTAAATATTTTTATCTTTCCTGTTGGTCATCTGTTGTAGTACCATTATCCATTGTAGAGGATTGAGTAATGGTCAACTTGTAACACCCAGCTGAACTGAATCAGTGTGGTCTGTGCATGGAGGATCCATCTGAGCATTGTTACCAATAGCCAGAAAAAGAGAACTGGAGGGGAAGATCTTGGCCTGTTGATTTTCTAGGAGAAGCTTGCTGCAAATGGTTTTCCTGATGTGAACTAGGCTGTTCTCATCAGAAGAGGAGCTCGGGGCCTCGCTGTCCCTGGGAATGACTGCTGCTTTCATCAGGGGAGCTCTGATCTTCATTGTGAGCATTACTTCCTGGCTCCAAAGTGGATCCCTCAGCTTGGGGTCACAAATCCTTCATCTCACCATGGTAGGTTTTCTGACATCCACCACTGGCCTTTGGGCCTTCCAGGCATAGATTCTCAATATGGACAAGCAGGAGACATTGCTCTAGGCCAGTGGCTCGACTCATGGAGGACACTGCCTTGGATTCTAAGCCTTTAGCTGGACTTGTGTGGGAAACTGCTGTGATCCAGGCCCACAGGTAGATTCTTCAGGCCCCTAGTGTGCAGTTAATCTCTTGCACTCCTTTGCATTTGATCTTTTTGGGTAATTATCCTAAAATAATCCTATAAATTGTGTCCTGTATTTAATGTATTGCCTTGCCAAAACCCTGAACTACAACAAAATTGGTACCAAAAGTGGGGTCATGGCTGTGACATTACCTGGCCATATGGCTCAAAAGCCTTTGGAACTGGCTTGTGGGAAGGAAAAGTTTTAGGAAAGATCCAGAGACACTGACTATAGAAGAAGCTCTGAAATGCTTTAGGCTGTTTTGTATGGGAGATTCTGGTCAGAGCTCATGAGACCAGAAAGCCGGTAGAGACCAGGCTCAGGAGGTTTCTGCTGGGAAGGACTGCATTGACTGCTGGACTCCAGAAGATGTATGTTATGGCTTGACAGAAAGTTTGTCTAAACTTTGCTCACGTTAAGAGAGTTTGCTGGAAGATTTGGAGCTGCTAGCTGAAGTAGAATTAGACTCCAGCAGATGTGTGCATGGCCTCGCAGAAAATTTATACACATTTTGTTCGCATCCAGAGACTTTGTCTAAGACTTAGATTAGGGGTGATGGACTAAATCTTGCAGAAGAAATTTCAAGGCAGGTGAATATTGAGGCAGTGATATGGTTATAGTTGAGGGCTTTTAGCCAAATCTATGTTGAGAATCAAGAGCAAAAAGCCCAGCACAGAATAATTTAAAACATTTTGAGTTTGATCAGAAAGGAAGCTCCAGTAAAATTGTAGACTGCAAAGATAGAGCAAAGGTACATGATCCCAACAATGAATGTAACTGTACTGTATCCCTAATGTACCAATTGTAAAATTGTAGACTGCAAAGATAGAGCAAAGGTACATGATCCCAACAATGAATGTAACTGTACTGTATCCCTAAAATGTACCAATAAACTCAATAAAATTAAATTTAAAAAAATTAAAAAAAAAAAAGATAGAGCAGAGGAGATCTTGATTGCTGAGAAGGAACAGGAAAACAGAAAAGATGGCCTGAGGGCATCACAGGAAGCAGCCAGACTCCACCTTTCACAGTTTCAGAAATGTAAAGGTGCAAGATTTTGCCTTGCGAAGAAAGCCCAGAACACCATGTTCCAGAATAAAGGCAGCTACACCATGCGGCAGAATGGCAACAACCTAAGGAAGTTGTTCCAAAATGGCAGCTCAGGGAAGTTATTCCTCGAGATTGGGTTCAGAGTGCTCAGCGATCCAGGTGCTCAAGCCCTACAGCCAAGAGGGAAGGAAACCAGGCTACTGCTCCACCTGGCTGCAGATCTTCGTATCATCCACGTGGCACTGGTTTTAGGTGCATGTAGAATGAAGGGTTGTGGGATGGGGAGGTTTCCACCCAGTTTTCAGAAGAAGGCCTGGGAGGCCTGGCAATGCGCTACCTTGTCAGGGCAATATGTGAATCTGTGACTGAAGCCAAAGGTGCAGTGAAGATCCCAGACTTTTGCAGAATCCAGGAGCATGGATGTCTGAGGAAAGCTGCAAGGAAGGAGCAGAGCCAGCCCAAGAGAGCTACAACCACCAGAAATGCCATAGGGACGGAGCCACTCAAGCCCTTCAGAGTTCACAATTTGCCACAGATTACCACAGATGCTGGAAGTGGAACTGTGGAATGGAATGTCTGGCCTGCTGAATTTTGGACTTACTTTGTAGCCTCTTGTTTGTACCTTTGGGAATGGTATATGTCTATCGTGTGCCATTGAATATTGGAAGTGTTTGACTTTCTTTTCATGTGTACAGGGGCTTGAAGCTAAGAGTTTATCTTAAATCTCAGAGTTTATCTTAAATCTTGGACTTTTCAGCAATGCTGAAACTATTAGGACTTTGGCAACTTTTAGAAATGGACTAATACTTCTTTGCATAAAGGAATATGCATGAGTCTTTGGGGGGCCAGGGAGAGAGATTATGGTTTATACTTAGATGTCCCCCCAAAGCCTCACTGAGATGAAGTGGGACTTCTTTTCAGGCATAGTTGATTCTGGAATGTGTGA